GCCCTGCCCTGCCCTGCCCTGCCCTGCCCTGCCCTGCCCTGCCCTGCGCTGCGCTGCGCTGCGCTGCGCTGCGCTGCGCTGCGCTGCTCTGCTCTGCTCTGCGCTGCTCTGCTCTGCTCTGCTCTGCTCTGCTCTGCTCTGCTCTGCGGATGCCGGGATTGGTGGCGCCTTCTGATCCGCACAGACGAAGGGCATGCGGCATCCGACGACTTTCATGCGGTGTAAACACACCGACGACGACCTTGTGCAAGGGGGGACCGAACGTTGCCGGGCTGTCCGGCTGGTGTGTTCTGACGCCCTGCCCTGAGAGTCCTCGGACACGAGCAGAGTCGGAAGATAAGGGTCTCGGTGACTGAACAAGGGACCCTTCCTGAAAACGGCAAAAGATGCTCCTGGAACCCCAGTCCCAGCCACAAAGAAATGGATGTTTCCCCAAGCAGCCATTTTCTATGTAACGAATTTCAATTGCCATATTGGAACCGACCAATTGTTTCTGTTTTGTTTTTTTTACTGTTTGGACCGACCACGCTATCACTCAAAAGCATGTGAGCTCATGAACATTCGCCGACTTCGGAGGTCCAGAGTCCAGAGTCGTCACCTCCACCTCCAGAGAACGACATGAAGAGAACATTTCAGGGGAACTGGTCATGACAACATGTCTCTTTTCCTGTGGATCAATCGAACACTTTTCAGGGTTCCATTGGGTTCGAGTTTTCAGAACACAATGAATGAAGCTCGGCCGATTTGGAGGACGAAAGTGGCTTCAGTCATTCGCTCACCTGGCTACACAGTCGATTTGGCTCCGTCGACTACGCCGTCTTGATCTCCCACCCCTCACTTCCGCCTCCGCCTCCACCCCGAAGACCCAAAACCGTCGCCGTCGCCCGTTTGAAGCTTCGACGACCGTGAGGACCGAGATGAGAGCGGATGCTCCTTCTCGCTGATGCCCTTGGATGTCCCACCACCACGGGTGCGAGCCCCCGACCGACCGACCGACCGCGGACGCGAGACGGACGGTGAGGTCCCGTAGTCGGAGTCCGTGCCTTCGCTGGCGGACAGGGGCCTCTCTTCATTTTCGGCGATCCGTTCTTAAGACGCTTCGTGGCAAGCTCAGACGGCTGAAATTCTCTTTCAATGAAACATGGTGGAAGACCGGTGAAGACCTTGCGGTCGACGTGTTAGATACATTATTAATACATGATGTTCATATATGTGCTGTGCTGAGTGCAAACCGTCTTGCCCTTCAACGTTGACGCTCCAGAATCCAGGATCTGGCAGGTAGTACACCAGAAGACTTCTGGTCTTTTGTAGTGCCTGGTGACCTCCAATCCAAGTCATGGCCGAGTCCTGCAGAAGTACCTGGAACTTCGACCGAGACATCTTGTGCTTTCAGGTCACGATCTATGACAAGTCAGGCCCATCTGTTGGCTTCGCTGTCTCCAAGCAGAATGCTCTGGACGAGTTTGAGGTGTGCCGTCAAGTCATGTCCTCCCGCCACGTCCGATGCCGAAGAAGGCTTTCCGGTGACCGGTGGAGCAGTTTAGCCAGGTTGTACCGGTCGTTGGTTTAGTTGAAAACACATCAGCTGGTCGTTTGCTGCACACGGTGGATTCTCAGGACGCACGGTGGATTCTCGGAACCCCCATCCTTTTGATCTGTATATATGGGTTCGTGTTGAAAAAGAGTGAGACACCCTGGCTGGGATTGGCTGGGTAGACTGGTCTATTTTCCTCGTTGCCTGGGAGGTCTCCCTATTTGAGCTTTTGTTTTTGCAAGAGTTGTTCAGGCAGCGAAGATCATCGTGACCTCTGGCGGAGCTGAGGCCGCAAACTTGTAGATGTTTCTTTCCATCAGGTTGAAGAACCCTATAGACATAGAGTATCCAATAGGTACGTACCCCAGTAGGGTCCTATTTACGGTCACTTAACCTCTCTTGCTTTGTGCCTGGGTTGTGCGCTGCTTTTTCTCCTTGAAACAGACACGAGTAGCCACTGGTCATATTTGAGGCCGACCGACCACACCCTGGTAAAGTTCAACCGAAGCTGTTGCGTTTGTTGTATCTGTATGTGATTTCCTTCGCAGGAGTTCCAGCGGAGAAAGCCTCTGGACTGCTGGTCGCGTCGCGAATACATGTGTTGGCGGGGACTTGGCAGATCTCATTTTTCCCTCTTACAGTACAGAGATTTTCCAATCAAAGCTCTGTTTGCACTTCTGAAGCCTTTGGTCTAGCCAGTAGTCATACCAAAGCAAGCGCATCAAGCCAATGCAGTCTGGTGCGTATTGGCACCCTAGGCCAGGCAGCTAGGCCTGGTGGGGGGTCCCGCTGAGAAAACTCCGAATCAGCGACCGCGAATCAGCGACGACGAATCAACTAGTTACCCTGCAACAGGGCTTAGCGTCCGTGTCCTTCACTTCTTTGAGGGTGTCTTTGGGTTTGACTTGCGGCTTCAGTCCTTTAGGGTTTCTTTGGGCTTGGCTTGGGGCGATCTTTTTTGGGGGCAGTGTTTTTGGGTTTGGCTTAAGGCTTCACCTCTTTGGGGTGTCTTTGCGTTTGGCTTAGGGCTTGACTTCGGGGTTTGGTTCGGCTTTGGTGTCCGGCGGTTTTCTTGCTTCAGCCTGTTGACCGATTTGGGTTTGCTTCAGTTTTCCCTCGTTGCATTGATAGGCTTCGTTCTCGCTCGGGATCTGGCGACCCATGCCGCTTTGGCGACCAACGGAGTTGGGTGTCCCGCCACCCGACGCCACCCGACGCCGCGTCGCGGCGAGGAGACCCACGTGGGGCTGTCTCCGATGTCCGTGGGGCTGTCCGCTGGGTACATGCAGGGAGCTCACCAGCGTCTGTTGCGGTTTCCGCTGCGGTTTCAGCGCTTTGACCGATGTCGATGTCCTAAGGACCGAAGAGGAAGGAGCTGCGGAAGAGCCACGAAGCGGCAAAGAGCCCTTCGGGCGGGTCGATTGGGGTCGTGGGGCATGCGTGTTTGCATGTTTTTGGTGCCTAGAACCGAAAAATTGGGGAAACATGATGAACAGGTGCTTTTTCATCTTATTTAATATGTTTTTATTCTTTTTGACACCCTCAGACCGCCTGGTTTAAAAGACTTGGTCCTTCAACAATTGCAAAACAACACCTCGAGTACTGGTACTTGTGACCAAGTCCTGAAGTCTTTTGCTGGACCAATAAATCATTGTACTCGTGGTTTGCATGTTGCGCTGCTTCGATCACCGCGCCAACGCCTTCGCGGGCGTTTTGGAGGCCCAAGGCTGAGACAAGCAAGTCCTTCTCTGACTCCGCAACTTGGCCCCTGAAAAGTGCAACGAGCAGAACTTATTCTGGACAAAATCAACAAACATCCTGCTACACTGCTACACTGCTTTGACATTCAAAAAGGAGCAGGAAAAAACGGTTTTAAAGCTATTAGGATGTCTGACTCTTCCTGCGGAAAACTCTCCCATCTCTGGTCCATTGTCGATTTTGAGGACTGGTTGAAGAAGATCAAGCTCCCTCCTCAGCATCCTCAGCAAGAGTCTCTGAGTCAGCCAGCTTTCCGCCAGGTCGGAGCCTGCGAGAACACATACGTTTGCTGAGCACCTGCCTTAATGACCTCCCCAAAAAGACATTCAAATGCCCTCCTCCTGCATTTCCAAACCTTTTTGTAGTCTGTAGCAACCAGATGAGAACTACGTCGCATGTAAAACGTCGCGCCCAGTGACATGTGATCGGACTTGGATTTAAGGAGAACCACAGGGCCATGTAGCAATGTATACCTGTCATGTTGAAACCATTCATTTCCTACTTCAACACACCATGACCACATCGGCGACTTCGTGTTCTTGGACTCCCGAGGTCTCCGTCTTCTCTTTCGGGCGTGGACCGCAGAACGGCGAAACCCGACCGTCTCATCGACCGGATCCGTACCACGGAGGAGCTCCGCGTTGAGCCGTACCGGGAGACCGAACGGGTCCCGGGTCGCTCGCTTCACCACGTCGGACTCGTTCCTTTTTGGGAACGGCGAAGAGAACGAACTGTGGACTGAGGTGACGCAGTGAAGGCCGATGTGGGTGAAGAGAAAAACACACCGAAGGTGACTTGTCACTCAGAGTTCTCATATAGTGAGTCTTTGCCTTGTTGCAAGAACGAGCTCAGCCAGGAACGAAGCGAAACGAGCGTCAACGAGTGGGTACGAGCCTGAAGACATGAGTGGCATGAATAGATTCCATGCCGGTTCCGTGAGTGGATGTGACAGGGGCATGTCGGCCTGTGTATTCAGTGGATGAATAGATTGCATCTCTCTCTTGGACAGCCAGCTGCCGGCCCGTGGAGCAAGGCCCAGAAAATGAAAGCCCTCCTGGATGGTGACTTTGTCCAGAGGCGGCTTTACCAGCAAGATGAGACAGTTCAAAGTTCAATGGGTCTCAAAGAAGGGAGTTTTTGAGAAAGGGCAACATAAGATCATATAATCCATTTGGTGCGTACATCGATGCTGAGACATATCCAAATGAAATTCGATTTCATGTTTCGTGAACGCTGTTTCGACGTCGGTGTTTGCATCGGTCTTGGACCAACCAGGTCGAGCAGCGCTGGTTCCAGACCACGGCTCAGCATCTCGTGTTCGTTGCGATCAGCTCAACGGACATCCTGTCTGGAGTTGTCCGGTGTTCGTGAGGTTCCAAAGGCACGCAGCTTGTTTCCATCAAGTTGCACAAGGCCTGATCAGAAAAGGCCGAATAAAAGCACAATGAAAACAAAAAACACAAGTCCTTTTTCCCCAAAGGCCGGATGTGTCTTTTGATTGGGAGCTGCTACAGGATTTTTCTTCAACAGTGTCAATCTGTGTCAGAGTCTATCCTCACTCATACTTCAGTAGTCCGGGTTGGCAGGTGTAAGCGCCTGGAAAAGCAGCGAAAAGGGCTGGCAGCTCACAAAACCGGTGGAGCTTTTGTTCCATCTGAAGAATTGATTGCTTGGCATTGCGACCAGTCGGAAAGTGCCCTTGAAGTCTTTTGTGCAGCTTTTAAGCTCTGGTAGCATAGTACCCCGTATATATGACTTATATCCTCACTCACTGTCACTCACTCACTCACTCACTCACTCACTCACCCACCCACCCACGCACGCACGCACGAACGCACGCACGCACGCACGCACGCACGCACGCACTCACTCACTCACTCACTCACTCACTCACTCAATCTCACTCAATCTCACTCAATCTCACTCAATCTCACTC